GAGTGCCAACTGTATTTTAAGTTATGGGGCTATAACAGTCAAGAAATCGTCTGTTTCTCTAGTGTGAGAGAAGGTAATGATCTTGGGGAAGGAAATAGTTGGACAGATTTGAGACATATCTAAAATGAGTGATTTATGGAAAGGGGGAAAATTGGAGGCAGTAAGTTTTTAATCAACTATTGCCGTAGTCCATGTGTGACGAATCAAGGGCTTGAACTGTGATAGTAATAGTGGGAATAGAGGAATAAAACTTAACTTTTGAAAAGTTGTTTCTACAGGGCAATTATGTATAAATGATAAATGATGAGAAGAAGGAGTTCCAGATTTAGCCAAGGGTTTGAGTTCAGGCAAGGGAGAATATTAGGTTTATGGGGCAAATGGAAATTTTAATCATCCATGGGCAAGTCGTGTTTATGGGGATAATACTACATCTGAGTGGAAATATTCTATGGTAACTAGAAAAGGGGAACTGAGGAAAGGTCAGGGCTAGAAATAATAGATTTGGGTATCATCTGCATAGAGATGACAGGATTACTTAAGTGCTTAAAAGAAAATGAAGAATATTGGGACTGGAAGGAAAAGGTAAAAGAATTAATTTAAAAAAAACCAGAAATGGCCAAAGAGGTATTAAAAATCCAAGAAGGTATCATAGGACCTAAAGATAAGATAGTCAACAGCGTCAAATACTGCACAGAAAGCAGGTGGGATTCGGACTGTGAACAGAATATTGGCAGACCCAAGTGGTCACTGGAGACCCTTGGAGACTGAGTAAGAAAAGGTGTTGGTGGCCAAGTCATATATCAGAGGCTCAAGCAGTAATGATAGATTGGAAACATAAATAGGATAGTAACAAAAAAGGGTAAGAATGCCTGGAAAACTTATTTTTTCAAACAAAAACTTATTATTTCTGGTTGACAGTAATATGGAAGATATTGATGGAGAGGCAGGTTTAAGAAGTATCAGAGGGAGACAGCATGGTGCCTCCTGTCAATTTTCTTTTTCTCTAGTCTCATCGATATCCTTCACTTCTCTGTATCAATGCTGATTATGTCAGTCCCCTACTGAAAGACCTCTCTGGGTTCCTCATTGCCAGTGGAAATCCAATATCCTTAGCATAGCTCACCAGATGCCTCACACTCTTGGTTCTAACCTCCCTTTTCCATTTCCTCTTTTGCCGCTCAAGGCACAGGAGATTTCACATTCTTTCCAGATTGAGTCTTCGTACACATTGCTTTTTCTGCCTGGAAGATCCTTCTTCCCACCTTTCACGTGGAAAATTCTAACTCATCCTTCAACACCTGGCTCAAATGTCACCTCATTTTTGAATGCTTTCCTGACTCCCCAGGCCCAGTGCAGGTCTCCCTCTTTGGTGCTTCGACTGCAAGTTGTTCATTCATATTTTTGTCTCAGCATCCTGCACTGCAATTCATAAATTTCGATAGCTCTGTTCTCCATTAGACTATATGATCTCTGAATACGATGACTGTCTCTTTTTTATCATTGTAATCCCCATGACTGGTGCAAAAAAAAACTCTTGCTAAAAGCATCAGGAATGAATGAGTGAGTATTAATGTAAAGAGATATATCATGAGGTATATAGGATGAAAGTGAAGAAGCATCTTAGTGCTAAGCGAAATAAGCCAGACACAGGAATACAGATACTGCATGATCTCACTTATGTGTGGAATCTAAAAAAAGTCAAACTCATAGAACGAGAGTGTAGAACGGCGGTTGCCAGGGGCTAGGGTGTGCGGGAGATTGGGAGATGTTGGTCAAAGGGTACAAACTTTCAGCTGTCAGATGAAAAGTTCTGAGGATCGAATGTACAGTATTGTGATTATAGGTAATAATACTGTATCAAATACTTAAAGTTTGCTGAGAGGAGTTGCTAAGTGTCCTCACCACACACACACAAATGGTAACTGTGATAGTGGTAATCATTTCACAATGTATACGTATGTTAAATCATCACATTGCTCACCTTAAAAAATCATGTTGTACAAATTAAATACATATGACTTTTATTTGTCAATCGTACCTCAAAAAAGTTGGGGTGGGGGGAGCTATATGAATTTGAGCAAGTTAATTTCTCCGAACCTGAGTTTCCTATTGGTCAAAGGAGGATAATACTTACCTTATAATGTGCTTATGAGGATAAAATCTACAAAATATAGATCAAACAATTAATGACCAGCATTTATTAATCATTAATGTTATAATTATTTTCAACTCCCACCTTCATGGCATGGATCTCTTATTAGTTGCTCTCTGGCCTTGGATTTGGCTGCAACTTTAATCCATTCTCAAAAGAGAAGAATTTTTGGTTCGTTTTCTAAGTTAAATTTTCATGTTAAGAAATTGAAACTCAAGTCTATCTTTAAGCAGCAGTGTTTCATCTGCCTAAATGATGTAATCTGATTAATAATAACCATTCGGCATCAAGTGAATTCAACAAAAATCTAGAATTAAATATATGGGTTGATTTAGTAAGTTTACAATTAAGTCTGAATTGTTTTATGAATCTCCAAGGAACTTCCCAGAGGAGGCCCTAGCTTCGAGACTTACTACACTGGATCCAGGGACACCCTTCTTGTCTTATCTTCAGGATTGTGTTGCCCTGAGTGAGTTAAATCAGCTCTTTCCATTTTTTTTTTAGCAGAATTTTTGTGGTTCATAAAAACAAGCACTTACAGATTTTCTTGCATAGATAAAGGAAAGGATTCTACATCAGATTTAGATCAAGAGATAGATTTTCAGAAGAAAATGATGGATGTGTCCTCTGGGAGTAACGGAATGCAGTGATGTTCGTCTCTGACTGATTGAGTTTAAGGCATTTGTGAACACTTCCACGCCCACACCCACTCAAATACACAAACAGTGGTCACAACTGCAGCTCCAGACGCTGCCTCTCTCCCCAGTCTCATATCCAAAGTGCATCCGTTGTTTTCCATAACATGAAATAAATCCCTCCCTTTTGCCCAGTGGTGAAAAGCTTATATAAATACTAAAACTTCAACTATTCCCCTGAGTTTTCTGTTGGCAAGCCTGCAGCTATGGGTTTGTTGAGATATTGACATGCATTTTCTGTGCAGATCTTTCAGGCCACTTGGGTGAGTCCAGTGGTGATAAATTTATGTCTTGAAAATTCATCAGAGTAACCATTATAACACTCTGTTTATGAAAACTTAAATAATTAACACCCTGATTTAAAAGGCTCCAGGTTCAAAGTACCTCTTTTATTCTTTCAACATATATCATTCTGGTGATATATATCTATATATATCTTAGCAAGTCTCCGCCAGGAGATGACTTTAATAGTCATTGAAAAGAAAATGTGGATGCGAAGAATTGACTAATTCAAAACATATAATCTTGCATTGTGGCGTTCCCATGAAAGAATATTTTTCAGTATTTAGAAGTGAAGTCTTTTACTGCGTACTAAATAGGGATAGTTAACGTTACTGGGCCATAATTAATGTGTATAATGAAAAATCTTTATCATAATGGAAAGAAAAGGGGGAAGGCATTATTTTTAAAGACAAAAATCAATGCCTGGTGTAGAGTAGACGCTCCTTAGGTGGTTGTAGAATAAGTGGATGTGTGAATAGGATTAATTATATTCCTAGTGAAATGTATACTACCTTCATTAAAAATTTTTATCAGATTCTTGTGTAAAAAATTTATATGATTGAACATAGTTGTTCATATAGTAGTCTGTCTTTTAGAGTATGTTAATTCAAACTTCTCTTTTCTTTTTATCTATTAGATGGCAATTAGAGAAGTGTTCTCAAAGTATTGACACTTTTTAATCTTTTTTTTAAATAGTGGAAAAGGTGCATTTCTCTGACATAATTCCCATAGAATCTGCTAATCTGAAATTAATTTTAGCTACGTCTGAGAGAGCTGAATAGAAGCCCATGAATATTAACTATTTCTACTACACTTCCACTAGCCCTCCCATATTCGTGAAGCATTTTACTTGCTGCCAATAATTTACTATAGCTAATGCTTTTTAAAAATTTCTTTTAACCTAGATTATTACTTAACTAAAAATAGTTTGCTATTTTAACAATTAACAGTTGTCAAATTCTTCATATATTACAAACTATGAGTGTTTATTTGTCTTTGAGGATCCAAGATTTTGTTTCTGTGCTCACTGTCTTAACAGAGAACTAAAAAACAGTAAATCTCATTAATGAATTGGGTCTCCTTTCCTTAAGACCTAATAGAGAAAAGAAAGGAAATCAAATAAGCTTTTGTGTCTGTGAAGTCCAATTTTAAATTATAGTAAAAATAAAACAGAGGTAAAGGACTTGGATGAATTTGAGGGTTGTTGGCTAAATTGAGGTATTAGTCTTTACATGTCTCCATTTGTTCTAATTGGTAAACCATAGTGCAAGTAAATAAGTAATTAAGGTTTTTTTTTAGGCCAGTGGTTGTGGCTGTTAATTCTGGTGTGCTTTAAGAGTAATGGAGGTAAAACATACAGCTTTCTTTTAAAACCAATTCATTAGTTTATTTTTTGTTTTGAGGAATAATTTAGCATATCTGTGTCTATCTTAACCTCATGTACTATTGCCTGAGACCTAAAAAACACTGCACAATGACGTTATGCTCAAAACTTCAGTAACATTATATTATCATCATTAAATTCATCAAGTGCTCAATACCACATTTGAAGCTCAGTTAATACCATTTTCTACATAATCTCTCTTCTCCAAGGGTCTCTCTGTCAAAAAGTTCATAGGGTCAGAAATAGGAGGAATTTCAACTCTAATGGTGGATTTGCAAACAAGGGGATGGGAGTGGCTATTCTTATAACTTACAGGGCAACTCAAGTTGTTTCATATTGGCAACATTCTCTCAAAACTAGGCACAAGGAAAGTTAAAGAAACATGTTTTTGTCATTATCAGTTGCTTTCAAAGAGGGCCGCAGGAGAAAACACGTTGTGTACATTCTTTAGAGTATAAAAGTGCATCCTTTTTTGGTCTCTTCCTAGGTTTGAAGAAGAAATGACCAGCAAGTGGTTACACCTCTTCGAAGGCAGTGGAGTCCCGTATGGCCCAATTAACAACATGAAGAATGTGTTTGCAGAACCCCAGGTTTGTTTTTTGAAGTTTTTAGTATGTTTCGGTTAAAACCACAAGAATTTGCCTCTCTTTTCTATCCAGACTGATTCATATAAGTGTACATTAGCCATTGATCTTGAGCTTAAGTCACATCACCTGATTTTTTACTCTTACGTTAAGGTGTGGGTCTGAAATAAAAATAATCAGAATTTAGCACTGGCAGCCTACAATCATACTTTTATATGTATCTGATCGAAAATATTTCTTCAGCAGCCATAAAGTATCCAAGGTCAGGGCATGTGTTTTTGCTGAAAAATAGAAATATAGACAATTGAAAGGTTGGAGTCAGGCACGCAGAGATCATTCTCTGCAGAAAGAAATGGGAGGACCTTCACAGCTGTAGTCCCCCTCTCATCGTATGGCTGTCTTAAAATGTACAAAGCAAGTCATCATTAGTTCTGCTGATGCAAGGCTTTCTATATGCTTTGATTAATGTGCATTACTCGTGGAGAATAAATGTACTTGAATAGAGATTTGTGCTATACATTGCTTACAGACTCCTTCTTGGGGTACAGAAATAAGGATCATCTGAAAAAATATTTCTTCTATAACATTGTTCAAATGATTTTTTTTAGATAATGTCAAAATAATAAGTTTTGATTTTATTACTTTAATCAGTATCACTGCAAGCAATTTACCATTTCTCAGATTCACATATTAATCCCACAATGTAGAGGAACTGCCTTTTTCTATGAAACTTTCGCCGTGATTATTCATGTGTCTGTCAGCTTCTGTCATTTCAAAATTATAGTTTTTCTCTTTATTCTTTTCATTTTTTATAGTGGTAGATTTTTCTTTGAAATGAATTGTTGAAAATGGAATATACTTTTTTAAGGGAGCAAACTGACCTAATTCTAACTTTGGTACCTTCATGTTACATGAATATCTGTTTAAAGGATAATTGAACTGTGTTCAGTCCAATGATTATAATATTTACTGGAGAAAAAAAGGTGAATGAATGCAGGAATTCTGCTCTGTGCTATTTTTTTCTGCCAAGATTGTGAGTATGGCAACACTTTGTTCCTAATGAAAGAACGGTCAATAAGAATTGGAGAAAAGGGTTGCCCACTTGATATGGACTGAGTCTTTGTGAAAGGGTCCCCACTACATCAGTGATTAATGCTGGTGATTCCTTGTGATGAGGTAGCAGTTTGTGCACCCTGAATGTAGACCAGAGGGCCAGTTTTCTCACTTCAAGCTTTGGCTTTAAGCTGTTGTAGGGGAATGGGTGGGTTTCACCATTATTTTCCTGCTTAAAAGTAGAACCAAGGTGTGTAGGACTTCCTGTTTAACTCAGTTTGAGGGCACATTTCTCTAGAGAGAATTCCTGAGGGTTTTTCCATCAGCACTTCTGTTGGCTCCATCTGTGTTTCATCAGGAATAAAGGCACCAAAGGAAAAAATGTTATTTTAAAAATTATTAGATATATTCAAGTGTTACTTATTTTTTAGGCTTTGATAAACAAGGATCCAAGGTCCCATCCTTAAAATTGTTCACTTTATGGGCTGGTACGGATTGAATGTTGGGTAATTAGGATTTTCATTCCCAATTTTCCCTTGTAGCTCACTTTAATTACTTTAATTTTTGTATCTCAACTCTTTTGGACCTGCAGGAAGTTTCTATTATTGGTCTATGGCTTATTTTAGTTCTTAAACAATTTTTCAAATGGAGAACAGTGATATTCTAAGTCAGGATACCAACTTTTCCTACTACCCCAAAAGTCTTTGAAAACTGCCTTCTTATCCACCAAAAAGTAGATTCTAATTGTTACAATTCTAATATCAAAAATTCTTAATCATACAGTGATAGTTATTGACAATAGCGTAGAGCTGGTCTCTTATATACCATTTCATTCTTCTTTGGAATTTAAACACCAAAATGTGTGTATAAAATTATCTGGACTTTTAGAAAGACTAGAGAGCAGTGTAATATTAGTACAAGGACCTACTGTATGGCACAGGGAACTCTGCTCAATATTCTGTAACAACCTAATCAGGAAAAGAATTTGAAAAGGAATAGATACATGTGTATGTATAACTGAATCACTTTGTTGTACACCTGAAAGTAACACAACATTGGTAATCAACTGTACTCCAATATAAAATAAAAAGTGAAAAAAGTAAATAATAAGCAAAGATGACTATGGCAATTGTACGTAGGACTGTTTGGCACAAGACGTAAGGGCGCCATCTTTCCCCTATGCCTGGAAGTGTTTGGCTCTTTTAGAAGGAATTCCCTATCATTATGTATTTTGAAAGGAATGTAGAAGCTGAAAAAATCAGGGAGTTAAAAAAAATTTGTATAAAATAAATACAGTAGTAAGACCACGGAGTCAGAAGTGTTGGGCAGTTTTATGTTTTCTAGGCTTTGGTTTCCTCAATAGTAAAGTGATGAAATAGAATCTTTTCTCTATATTGTAAGTGTTAAATGTGACAATGTTTATCAAAGGCACATAGCAGGGATTGCTAGATGGTAAAAGTTTAGTAAATGGTAATAGCTCTGGTTATGGTGCCCTTTATGGTTATATTTTTATTAAAAAACACTTTCTTTTACTTATTATTTAGTGGATAGAGGCAAATCCAGTGTAGCTGCAGGGATGGGGATCATTAGCTTAAAATCAAGGTCTAACTAATATCCTTTTAAGAAAATCCGTCTGCAGACTTTGTGCCAAGAAGTTCTCAGCCCTTCAGTAATTTTTCTGATTACTGAAAATCTTTTTGTTTTCCGTAAAAGTCTGATTTCCGTTCAAGGTGTCCTCCCTTGTTTTTCCCCTGACGAGCTGTGGAGTTTCTTGGCCCTGGGTACATGGAACCGGCCACTTCTGTTCAGATGTGGGACCGCACCGCTGGCGCCCGTGGCCCAGCTCTCCATGTGCGCTGTGCCAGCACAGCTGCTAGTTCAACTGAAAATTGATTTGGGTGAAGTACAAGGCCTGGAACATGGCGCAGGAAGTGAGACTTTGATGAAGTGGAAAGGGGTATGTCTAACCAAAAAAAGAAAGAAGAAAAAAGATTAGAAGCATCAAAGAGCAGGAGATAATTTTCTGTGGGTCTACTTATCAAGTGGACCATTTATGTTTCATCTGTGGTTTGAACGTGGTAGACAACAAAATTTGCTTGATGGTCGAAACTGTTCCTAACCAAAATAATTTCCTCATAGTCTCATGTTTTGAGAAAACTTGCCTTTTTGACTCAACTGAAACAACAAATGATTCTTTTTTTTCTTGGATAGATGCAAGGGTGTCTACCTTTTATCCTCTGATTATATGCTACAGACCTTTGCACAGTTAAAATGATCCTGCAGGCATCCACTGTTAAGTCAATCAGCAATACTACAGGAGATTTTGGTCTGTATTTACTGCTATCTCTGAGAAATTTTGATCCAAAACCCTTTTAGTGGTAGTTTTATTGTTTTTTATCCCTCAATGATAAATTATCTGTGGAAAACTCTGTGCATTGTAGAAGTATAATATAGATTATCTGCATGTAGATTTTAATAGTCATGTTTCCAAGTGCTTTCTTAAAATATCTTCTTTTAATCAGGCCAAGATTGTGTAGTACATTAAAGGAATTCTTAAAAAGTTTAAAAAACTTACTAGATGACCTCAGTATGGTCCTATTTAACATACCCTTGGGAACATGTGCATGAAATACATTGTGGTTTGAGGTTTTCCAGCCCAAACAGACTTAAAAGAAAATGCAGCTTTTAATAGAAACTATTCAAATTCCTGCAAAAATAGGTATGGATCTCACCACTGAGAGGGTTTAAAAGCATCATTATCTACCATGAGAATCAAAAGAGAATGTGTTATCCTGCTTTTTCTATTTTGCTCAAGACCGTAAATTTGGCGGTTCTAGTGTATCACCATTTTTGAATGAAATGCTCAGTTAAAAAATATATGTGTATATGAATGACTGAACCTCTGATGAATGTTCTTCTTTCTCCTTGATGCCATGACCTGTGGGTGGGGAAGAGAGGGCAAAGGAAAACTGGTGTTATTTAACAGAGTCTTCACATTTATACCACACAAGTTGAATCCATCAGGTGTAAGACATCACCCTGAAGCATCACTTCTGAGAACTATTGGGAGGGAAATATCAGAACTGAAATATCACAGCTGGCCCTGATTTTAACTGGTGCCAAACACCTGCAGACTCTAAAAGGATACCAAAATAAAACCCCACCCTGTGGCAGCAAGCCAGCCCTTAACAACCCTTCCTTAACTTTGCATCACCATCAAGATTAATTTAACATTTTCTACAGAAACCTTATTCTTCCTGTCCCAGAAGGCCATTATAACTCCTGTAGCCAATCTTTCGTATGGGATAAATATGTCATAGAAACAGAGTGAAGTCTTGAAATATTTGATAGCTTAAAATTATCTGTTGTTTTCATATCATTATTTGTGGAAGCCTGTGAAGTTGGAGGCTTTATTAATCTCTAGGCTAGCTCATATTCTCCAAGTGACTTTGTTTTAGCACATTTTGGCAAAATATCTGAGCATCTGGGGGAAAAAAGCCTTTAGGATTCATATAGTGAGTGTCAGAAGCTCCCCAAAATACAGAGCTATTTTTCAAGTCCTTTCTACCTTATACATGCAGACACACTTGTGCACACATGCACACACATACATACACACATGCACTACTGATGCATTTTAAAGATTGCCTTTTGAATGACATTAGTTAATATTTATTGAAATGCAGTTGCATAGCCCTGGGAGGGTTATACAAATCAAGCAAAATTATATCCTTGTTTCTAATACTGCTGCGGAATACATACATACAGTGCTCCCTGTAACTGGAAAACAGTTGATGAAGATCTGAGGTAAAACAGTATGTCTGGAAATAATTCCTAGTAGACAAAAGAGATACAAAAATAAAATTTATGTATATCTCTGAGTATATATGACACATTTCAGATAGTCAACAAATTCAGACATTTTGTTCTGTGATACCTGGGTATAATATTTT